TACGACGCTACAGGCAACAATGCACACGTGTGATTCTGCGTGTAATTCGTTGTTCTTGTAGAGCGAAAAGAATAGAGGGTACAATGATCACTGACTGTGATCTCTTTACCTCACCGTTTCGAGAGACGAAAGTGGTAAACTCTGTGCGAGTGCGGACCCGAATGCCAAGTGCACGGAGGCATTTCGCCGGTCACTCGATCGCGGGACTGTCTTTTACTCGGATCACGAGTTTTGTTGCATTCAGGGTCCGAATCCAACTAACTGGAAAGAAATACTGGTGGGTGATGTTGTTTGGGTAAGATGGCGTAAGAACGAGCATTGGCCAGCAACAGTGTACGAAATCACGGATACGGTCCCCGTGAAGGTAGGTGGTTGCAGCCTTTCTAGAACTGCCCGATTACTCTGGTATTTTATTTGTAGTCGACACGCTTTTGTAGGTGACTGTCTTCTGGGTGAATGACAAGACTCAGAGCACTGTGGATTACACCCAAGTTGACTTGTTCGACATGGCTTTTCACATCAGGTTAGTTTTTGCAACGCATGACTTTTTGCAACATAAAACTTATTTTCTAACTAAATACCAATTCTTTTCTCCTGTGAGTGCGACATTCAGAATTCGCGATGACGCGCGTCGATGCGCTGTAACGCGCTATAGTTGCAACAACGTTCCAATCCTGTAGAAGCGAACGCAGCTGCAGACAGGAGTCGATAGGCGCCGCGCCAGCGGCCATGCCATACCAGACTCGTGGTTCGGCAACGCGTACCCTTTAGTTCCCCCATATTCTCTCGAAACACGAGCGGCGCCAGTCGATTCCCTTCCGTGGCTGCGTCCGCATCTTCAGTAACTGGAGCGCTGTGGCAAGTATAGCGCGTCATCGCGAAGTCTGAACGCTGCCTGAGAGGAAAGGCAGCTTCACCTGGTAGGAGTTGTCAAAATAAACGAAGAACTGATTTCAAAAAGACGACGTTCGAACTAGCTAGTCATGCCAACGTCCGCGAACTAGTATTGTTCACTGAACTGTTGATCGTTCCTGATTTAGATTCGATTGCCGCAGATCTGACCCGAAATATGTGAGAGCAGTTGTGACGGCCCTACGTTATGTTGGAAAGATGGGATTCTGGGAAAGGTGAGGAGCGCAATCAGTACTGCCTAAGTAGTGGTTTATTCCTTTCATCAAGCAGAGTTCATGACCGTTTTTCATGGAAATATGATTACTGGTAGATTCTCGTGATCTGATTCTTTTTCCTTCTAGTTTTCTCACGAAGAAAGTTTATGAAGAACTGGTCAAGGAAGAGGGCCCGACTTTCTGTCAGCATATCAGTAACGAAGAGATAAAAAGAATCATGTGCAAGCAGGCGAAGCAAGCGAAACTGTCGAAAGAAATGAAGAAGGAAGATCAGGTTCATAAACTTCGTTTAACTCATGTTAACCTGAATCAGGACTTCTTAGGCTCTGTTGCCTCTGTCCTCGAGGTTCCGCCTAGATTTTGATGGGAATTTTTTCCCATGGGTGGATCTAACTAGATTTCTGTGCCCAGGGTAGCTCACTCCCCTGAAACGAATACCGCCTTCATTTGGCTTAAAACGGCTTGATGTCCGTGCTATGGGCCGAAAGGCCTCAAAGCACCATCGATGTTGTAAACTTATCCCAAAGATTTTTACACTGTCAACGCGAATATCACAGTAATTTGATGTGAAAACTCTTGCTGTACGGGCCTGCTCCAGAAGTGTCTGAACGGTCTTCGCATCAGGCAGTTTCGTTCTAAGCAAATGTGACATTCTGTTCACGGAGTTAGACTATGCCTGGGGACAAAGTCTTGGCCAAAACTATCAAATCCATGGGAGTATCGATCGAAATTTAGGCTGAATTTTGAGGAGTGGAGAAAGGGTAAGTAGTGCCATTGCATGATTTGTTCTTTTTCATGTTCCTAAAGAACAACTGATTGCCGTGAAATCAATGTGTTATTGCTTTTCTGTTCAATGGCCATTTGAAGACCCACGCTTTTTCCTGGTTCGTAGATTCCCTTCATTCTACAAGCACTCCGATCCCCAGTGTCAGAGGTCTCTTACCGCGGTTTCACAGTGACTGGCGAGGGCTTCACGGTTTACAAGTCCAAGGAATGCCAACCGTAGAGTTTGTTTCACCCATCTGGTACGAGTTATGCACCAGTCCTATATCTTCAAGTACAGGCGTAACTCGTTCCAATCAATTCCGTGTACGACCGGTCTTTGTGGTCTCGCACACCTCCCAGCTCTTCTCTACCTCTCTTCCGTTGTCTCTAGTCTCTCTCTCACGCAACAGTGTTCCGTTTCTTCGAATGCTCGTCCAATCGGAAGCCGTCTTGGACGGTTTTGTTCACTGTTTCAGTGGTAAGACTTTGTTAACTCACTGGTGGTTAAATTCCGAACTTGACTGTGTAATGCACGAATTGTAATCGTGGAATCTCTGTCTTTAATTCCGTCCCTAAGCGCAAGAAGAAAGAAGAAGGGGAGCTCAGAA